GCACGCGAAAGTTTTTTTTTGGCGGAAAAGCGTTTTCGGAAACGGCACAAGCTAGGAGGCTGAAACTTCACTGAAATGTTTCTTGGCTACGTCTAATTCAAATTCAGCCTTTATGTACCCCAAATTTGGAATTTGATGTAAATAATGGCCGTGATAATAGTCTTTCTGAATTGAAAAGCACTCACTCGAATGCTATGACGTGTGTTTTGGAGAACATTCCGTTATAGATCAGTTCGCATTAGTCTGTTTAATCACCATAGTATCCAAAAATTTGTTCAAAGAAATACATTTTCAGCTTGTAATCATCGTTTTCTGAGAGGGCTTCTGGTCTCAAAAAGCCAGAAATGACAATTCTTAGATTTTCATTTTTACGTTTTGAGCCAAAAATTCTTAGTGTTATGATTTCTTCCATTAACTTATAATTTCTTTCATACAGCCATTATCGTCATATTTGTTTGTCCCACACATTTTTCATTTACTAGGATATTTCATTTTGCCCTTTTTTTAATGTATCTGGGATTTTAGTACAGGATTCCTGACGTTTAAAATTTTCATTGGTTTTTTTTTTTTAAATCGCTCCTACATCTTCTTCAGTCATTCTGAGGAATAAGTAAATTAAAATCTGGTTTTTTTAATCATTTGAAGTCTGTGTTCGCTTTATGAATTCGTTGCTGTCCAGGAAATTGTGGAAATCATGTTTTTTCTGTTTTTCTTTTGTAAAGTTTTGGTATTGTTACTACTGCCTGTAGACTTCTTAAAAAAAAAGGGGGAAAAAACAAGGATTTTTTTGCAGCGAAAACTCGGCAAAGAATGATGGTGCTTCTGTGGAGTTTCAGATGGACGAGGCACGACTGCAAGTTGATTTCAACACAATGAAGCAGAAAAATTTGGACACTGGTTTTGTTCGGTCGGTGAGATGCGCTATCAAAAATGACATAGGTAATCAGTCCACCAAAACGATTTTTTCATTTTTTCTATGAAAATTACAAAATGGGCACTTTTTAATCGCTTCTCGCGCTCCTCTTCTTCCCTCTTTCTGTTCCTCCCCGCCCCTGCCTCATACCCACTGCTTTTTATGCCATGTTTCTGTGTGTGCGTCTGTCACGCACTTCCATCTTAAGACCTGTAAAAGCTGCGGGGCTAAAATTTCGGGAAAAGTTTTTTTGGCGGAAGTTCATAACTCGGGGATCTGAGAAGCTGGAACGCTGAAATCTTAGGGGGATGTTACCGTCAAGTAGGTATTAACGGGTTCAAACCCTGCCCGCGGGTAAGCGTGGTACCTACCTACGGGCCCTTGAAAGTTTCTTCCGGGTAAGTTGCTAACTCGGGAAAGTGAGAAGCTAGAAGACTG